CCCTTGAACACTCAGAAACAAAGTCAAGTGATCAAATGATCATACACAACATACACCACAGTCATACCCTCAGGGGGAAAAAAAGTTTAAATCTTGTCCAAACAATAGGAAATTCAAAAATAAGCAGCAGCGGCTCCTTCAAATGAAAAGAAATCAGCCCAAGAACTCCAACACTACAAAAAGAATGTCTTTCCACCTCCAAAGAATTGCACCAGCTCTATAGCAATGGATCCTAACCAAGTTGAAAACTTTGAAATGGCAGATTAAAGAAATAAAATACATATTGCAAGGAAACTCAATGAGATCCAAGAGAAATTTAAAATCCATTTCAAAGAAACCAGAAAAAAAAATGCAGGATATGAAACATGAGATAGCCATATTAAGATAAAACCAAATAGAACTTTTGGAATTGAAAAATTCACTAAAAGGAAAATCAAAATACACTTGGAAGCAGGCCAGGTGCAGTGGCTCAGATGTGTAATTGCAGCACTTTGAGAGGCCGAGGTGGGCGGTTCACCTGAGGTCAGGAGTTCGAAACCAGCTCTGTCAATATGGCAAAACCCTGTGTCTACTAAAAATACAAAAATTAGCCAGGTGTGGTGGCATGCACCTGTAATCCCAGCTTCTCCAGAGGCTGAGGCAGGAGAATCACTTGAACCTAGGAGGCAGAGGTTACAGTGAATTGAGATCACACCACTGTACTCCAGCCTGGGCAACAGAGTGAGATTCCATCTCAAACACACACACACACACACACACACACACACACACACACACACACACACACATTTTAATAATAGACTACACTAAGCGAAAGACAAGATTTCAGAGCTTGAAGACCAGCCTTTCAAATTAACCTTTGGCTAACCAAGTTAGCCAAAAATAAAGAATCTGAAAAATGAACAAAGCCTTAGAGAAACGTGGAATTATGTAAAGCAACCAAACCTGTGACTTACTGGCATTCTTGATGGAGAAGAGAAAGAAGTAAGCAAATTGGAAAACATATTTGAAGCAATAATTTAGGAAAATTTCTCTAAGCTTGCTAGAGAGGTTGACATCCAAATATAAGAAACTCAGAAAACACCTGCAAGATACAAGATGGCATATAGTCCATCAGACTATGCAAGGTTAACACCAAAGAAAACAATCTGAAAGGCATCTAGAGAAAAGGGCTAAATTACCTATAAAGGAAATCCAATCAGACTAACAGAGGACTTGTCAGCAGAAACCTTACAAGCAAGAAGAGATCAGGAGCCTACTTTTAGTCCCCTTAAAGAAAATAAAAATGCCAGCCAAGAATTTCATATTCTGGCAAACTAAGCTTCATAAATGAAAGAGAAATAAAGTCTTCCCCAGGCAAGTAAACACTAAGAGAATTTGTCACCACCAGACCTGCCATACAATAAATACTCAAAGGAATTCTAAACGTGGAAATAAAAGAATACTTGCTACCATATAAGCACACAAAAGTATAAAGCTCAGAGATCTTATAGAGCAATTACACAATTGAGACTAGAAAACAACTACCGAACAATGCTCAAATATCGAATTTATAGAAACAAAACTTCAAATATCAATGTTAACCTAGAACATAAATGGCCTAAATGCTTCACTTAAAGGACATCTTCTGAATTCAAGAAACCCATCTCACATGTAATGACAACCACAGGCTCAAAGTAAAGGAATGGAGAAAGATCTAGCATGCATATGGCAAATAAAAAAAAAGGAGTTATTGCTATTCTTGTATGAGGAGAAATAGACATTAAACCAACAACAGTAAAAAGAGACAAAGGAAGGCATTAAATAATGATAAAGGGTTCCATTCAACCAGAAGATTAACTCTCCTAAATAAATATGCACTCAATGTCAGAGCAGCCAGATTCATAAAACAAACACTACTAGACCTAAGGAAAAAAAGATAGCTATATATTAATAATGGGGGACTTCAACACCCCACTAACAGCACCAGACAGATCACCAAGGCAGAAAACTAACAAAGGTATACTCTGGACTTAAGTCAGACTCTTGACCAAATGGACCTGACAGACATCTACAGAATATTCCACTCAACAACACAGAATATACAATTTTCACATCTGTTCATGGAACATTCTCTAAACTTGACCACATGGTCATAAGTCACGTCTCATTAAGATAAAAAAAAAATTCAAAATCATATCAAGCATCTTCTGAGGTCATTATGAAATAAAATTAGAAATCAAGAACAAGAGGAATTCTCAAAATCACACAAACATATGGAAACAACAACATGCACCCGAATTTTGGATAAACAAAATTAATGCAAAAATTTAAAAAAAACATTTGAAACATGAAAATTGAAACAAAACAACCAAAACCCCTGGGATAGGCACTTTAATGAATATCAGAATTACATGGACCTGAAAGTGAAAGAAATTTCTTAAAGAAAAAACTTCTTGAGATATTAATTTTGAAAGAGAAGTGCCAGCCAGGCACAATGGCTCACGTTTGTAAACCCAGCAGTTTGGGAGGCTGAAGCGGGGGAATCATTTGAGGTCAGGAGGTTAAGACCAGCCTGCCCAACATGATGAAAACCCATCTCCTCTAAATTAGACAACAATTACCCAGGTGTGGTGGCAAGTGCCTGTAATCCCAGCTACTTGGAAGGTGGAAGCAGGGAGAATTGCTCAAACCCAGGAGGCAGAGGTTGCAGTGAGCCAAGATCATGCCACTGCACTCCAGTCAGGAAGACAGAATGAGATACTAAAAAAAAAAAAAAAAAAAAAAAAAAAAATGTAGAGAGCTTTGGAGCCTCAACCATTCATTTGTGTCTGATGAAGATGGCCCAGAACTGTCTTTGTAGGGAGTAGGATAAGGAGCTGGCATCTCCCATAGGACTTCCTGAGTCCACTTTGGTACAGAGATGGAGCAGTAATGTATCAATCAATATTGGTTAGGTTCCTTCACTTTCATTAGAGGATTTTAAAACTGTTTGTTTGCATGTGTTGATTTATTTAAAAAGTCAATCTATTTGCTTTTAATCAGCAAAATCACTCTGTTCTCCAAGACCACGCCAGAGAATGACTTCCTGAGTCTCCATTTTCTTATCAAAATCAAAGTTTCAGAAAGTAATCTTTTCAGAGGATGGTACAGCAAAGGATATGTAGTTTATTCATCTCTGTAATTTGTCTACAATTTAACCCTAGGCCAAACCAAAACATCACGTATTAAGCTGAATATTTGGACAGTGTTTTTTTTTGTTGTTGTTGTTTTTGACAAGTCCCTCCACTCCTATAAAATTGCTCTTACTGGATTGAGCTTTGTTGTGATGTCCACTGCGTCTTACTTTCTACTGGTTTTATTGCTGAGATATATTGAGGAAGTTGCCTCAGCCTAGCCCTTCATAAGCCCCATAGAAGAGGAGTTCTTCGGACTTTAAGTGTAAGAAAGAGCTTTGACTCTCCTAATTAAATGACATATCCTTATTTTATAGACAAGACCATGCAAGTCTTATGAATACCTGGTCATGTTAATAAATTTAATTCCATTGAAATTATTATCATTTTTATTTTTACTTTTTAAATCACTTGACATATATTTGAAATAACACTGTAAAAGATTCACTATTAAAGTGCTTTTATTTAATTATACATATTTTCTATGTTTTCAGAAAGATAAACTACACTATGGCCTCTGAGGGTTCTTGCCTCTTTGCAAGAATCAAGTCTTTTTGGGAGTCCCAAAGGGGCTAAAAGGGAAGCATGAAGCCACTTAGTAAGAGGATCTTCCAATTTTAATGTAATGTCACTTCAGCTCACCTCCCAAGAGCATAACTTTATTGGCTGGTTGCCTTTGATCAACTTGGGTCCTCATGGTTTTCTTTATCAATGATGCTGAAACTGAAAATTTCTAACATCGCTCTGTGACTGCTCTTTGTCTAGCACCCATTTCTGTCCTGTGCCATCTAACCCTAAACTATGCCATCAATTACACAAGCTGCCTCCACTCTGATCGACATGGCAAACAAAAAGAAATGAGTTACAGGAAAAATAAGCAAGATTCACAAATCTACAACAAAAAGAAATCAATCCTAAAACAGATATTTTAACTAGATAACTTCTAGAAATCCAAATTGTATCATATTTGTACTTATGAATTGCATATTTGTACTTAGGAATTTTATTTAGTATGCAAAACACAAAAATGTCATTTAGAAATTTCAGGTACACTGAATTCATTAGCAGATATATTCTAATGAACATGTTCTCTTTTCTCTGGATACTAACCTTTATAAAAAGCTCCTGTGAAATAGGTAATTCTCAATTACCAGAGTATAAAGCACGGCCTCTTATGATTATTCAAAAACTTCTTAGTTTTAGGCCACAGAGCACATATACACACTTGCCATCAGGGTGTGAGTGGAAGGAGACTACATTCTTACATAAGTTCAAAAGAGACATTAATAGAAAAATAAATATGCTTCTAAAAACAACTCTCAAGTGAGCTAAATTATTTAAGAATTGTATTTCATATTTTTTAAGCTTCTTCATGAAAATGGTCATTCAAGAGCTACTTCTCAACTCGTTCTATGAAGCCAGTATTATCCTGATGCCAAAGTCAAACAGTACAGAAAAACTACAGAACAATATGCTTTATGAATATTGATGCAAACATCCTCAACAAAATATTAGCAAACCAAATTCAATAGCATCTTTAAAAGATAATACACCATGACTGAGGGAGAGTTATTCCTGGAATGCAAGGGTGGTTAAACATATGAAAATCAATTAATATACGATACCATATTAACAGAATGTAGGGAAAAATATGACTATCTTAATGTAGAAAAAGTATTTTACAAATTTCAACACTTTCTCATGACAAAAACATAAAAAAACTAGGAACAGAAGGAAACTACCTCAACATCATTAAAAGTTGCTTTTATTCAAAACATGTCTAGATTAATCATCTATATCAAGGAAACTGGGCGGATTTTAAAAATTCCCATAAGGAGTACTTACCTGCCAATATTTTCTTGAACTGTCTAAACCATATGTCACAATGGTCTTCACTTAAATTAATAAGATCAAGTGTAGACTTCTTTAGTTTATTTTGTTCCTTTTTCAAGCAAATGAAGAGTGTGATACCTAATAAAGTACCACTTCTCTGCTGTTTAACAGAACAACGCCGTTTCAGTTTCACAGAGAATATGTCTTTCAGTTCAATAAATTCTTCTTTACATAGCCAGTCATACTTAGAATCACCTGGAAAAAAATTTAAATTTTTCAATTAAAACCATTGTATTCCATAGAGAGGAACAACAGATACTGGGACCTACCAGAAGGTAGAAAGTGAGTGAAGGGAAAGGATCAGGAAAAGTAACTAATGGGTACTAGGCTTAATACCTGTTTGATAAAATAATCTGTACAACAAACCCACACGACACAAATTTACCTGTATAAGAAACCTGCACATGTACCCTGAACCTAAAAGTTAAAAAATAAAATGAACTACTAAGAAAAAAAAAAAAAAGTGTCTATATCTTATGTATAATAGTTGAAATCAAAAAATACCTTTATCATTTGTAATTTTATGGATTGTCATTTATGCCAGTCCCTATATAAGATGGAAAGGGAAAGAAAATATAAATTGGGTTTATTTTGTCAAGAATTAGATTAAAAATAGAATAAATAGAAGAGAGTCCCTGCTACACAGGCCTACAACATTCAACATCTGAGGACAGTCAATGTACGAAGAATTCCAATAACAAACAGGGTGACATTTTAGTAATAAATTGATATCACATGAGGAGCTTGTTGGTACTACGGATAAAGTAAAGAAACAGAAAAAACAGTAGATAGAATTCACTAACAGAAGTGAATTTATGACAAATTGTTGAAGGCAGCATTAATGAAAAGGAAATATACATTCCCATTAAAGTAACACATACAAAAAGGAAGCAGAAATACAACTATTGTGAGGAGGAAATATTATTTTTATTTTATTTTATTTATTTATTTATTTATTTATGAGACGGAGTTTCGCTCTTGTTGCCCAGGCTGGAGTGCAATGGCGCGATCTCGGCTCACCGCAACCTCCGCCTCCTGGGTTCAGGCAATTCTCCTGCCTCAGCCTCCTGAGTAGCTGGGATTACAGGCACGTGCCACCATGCCCAGCTAATTTTTTGTATTTTTAGTAGAGACGGGGTTTCACCAGGTTGACCAGGATGGTCTCGATCTCTCGACCTCGTGATCCACCCGCCTCGGCCTCCCAAAGTGCTGGGATTACAGGCTTGAGCCACCGCGCCCGGAGGAAATATAAACTCTGTCAATCTAAAAGGAAATAAATAGCCCCCTGAATCCATCTATAATCAGACTTAAAATACTGGCATAAAATTTTCATGACTAATCTTTAAACTATAGGTCAGAAAATAATTCATGTAGAAAAGATCATTTCAATTGACTCTCAAAGTCAATTGAAGCGTTTTAGACATGAAAAAAAGACTTCCAAAACTTCTACCTTGGCCAACGTGGGATAATAGAAACTAGTTTCACCTTTCACCTAAAACTACAAAAGCACATAAGATACATGAAACAGCAGTTTTCAGACATTGGACATCAGGTTGCACAGGACAGTGAAGCTGAAGAGGGGGAAAACAAAGTGAACCCTATGATAGCCCCAGCCTATTGCCTGCCGAGAGTTTCCAGGTCACAGGACAGACACGAGAATCCTGGTGGGGCCTGGTGGTCTCCCTGAGTAAAGGAGAACTTTGGGTTTAGGAAGGCCAAGGTGACTAAGACCAAGCGACCCCTGAGAGTTCACTGTGCAATTTACTACAGAAGATAAGGGTGAACAGTGAACTCTGTAGATTTACAGATGTCCCCTCGAGACTTTAGCTGAAAGTATTGACCAGCAGATGTGTCAAACCAGGTAAGAACTACTAAAAGAATTAACAAAACAATGCTCAGAGATGACACAGGTGTTCCCACCGGCCAAAGGGGAAAAACACAAAAATTTATATGACATTACGGTAAGTATTTAGAAGAGTACTGTTCCTTAGTGAGCTGACTAAAGGCTGCTGTGATACCACCTAAAAAAAGCTTAAAAGCAAGCCCCTCAAAAGAATGACACTGTTTCCAGGTAACTACATTCTAGAACAGTGCCCAAAAATATTTACAGAATTTTTTTTAAAAAAACCAGCAACTCTGCATGGTAAAATTCACAATATCACTCACCTAATCCAAAATCACTAGACATGTAAAGAAGCAGAAAATATATGAACCAAAATAGGAGAAAAAGTAATCAACAGATACAGAAATGACTCAAGTACTAACAATAACAGAAAGCAGAGACTCTTAGCTTTTTAGCCCTTTAAGTACACACAATGTTATCCTTCAGTTGGAGTAAGGATGTTCCTATGCTCACTAATAGCGGAGAGGGAGGAAGAGAGGAGGAAGGAGGGGGAGGAAGGCAGGAAGGGAAAGCAGGAGAAGGGGAGAAAGGGAGGCGTGGGAGGGAGGGAGGGAGAAGGGAGGGGAAGGAAGGGGAGGGAAGTGGGGGAGGGAGAGGGAAGAGAGAAGAAGGGGGAGGGAGGGAGAGAAAGGGGAGGGAAATGGGGAAGAAAGAAGGAGGGAAGGGGAGGAAGAGAAAGTAAACAGGAGAAAGGGGGAGGGAGGGGGAGCAAAAGGAGAAGCCTTTTTCTCAATTATTGTGTTCATGGAATAGGGTAATGCTAAACATTTTTAGGCCTTTTATTTCTTAGAAGACTCACATTTCAGGTTTTCTCCTGGTCCACTTCTAGAGTTAGCCAATGACCTAAAACTCAACACTCTCAAAGTATCAGTTCAACAGGTTTTTCACCACTTAATCAGTAGAGTAAAATTATTTTATGAAATGCTCTACATGTCTTTAGAAAATGAATGGGTTGCCCTTCCCTTGGTAAGTAAATACTCATTGATTAACCTACATCAGTAAGACTTTTCTCTAGTGCAGCAGTTCCCAGACTCTTTAGTCTCAGGCTCATGTACCCTTAAAGACTGAGGGCCACAAATAACTTTGGTTTATGTAGGTTATATTATATCTATACTTATTCTATTCAAAATTGAACCCAAGAGTTTTTAAAGGACAAAAATGCAAAGCACAAAGCACACTGTTAGGACAAGGCTATCACCGAACATCCCATAACTTCCAGAAAACTCCACCATATCCTTGGAGAGAAATAGAGTGAAATACATTCTTAGCAATATTATAAAAACTTGTGACCTCACCAACCCTGAGAGTCCCTGGACCACACTTTGAAAATGCTATTTGAATACATTTTAGATTGTTTGTTCCTCCTGATCATGTTATGAAGTTATATTAACAAAAATTCTTGTTCCCATTTTAATACTCATACTTGTCACAGACTGAACAGAGTCCCTTCAATCTCGCTCTTTTGTTACAAACTATAGATGTCTTTGAAAGCAGCCTTACTCTCTTATAAAAACAGTGTTTCAACTTCATCCGGATTCCTCAAGAAGTCCTGATTCCTTTAAGGAAGAATATATTAGAAATTAAAAGCTGAATAGTATGGCATTATATACAAAGGAAACCAAACTCAGTCACAGCAAATCATCTGGTCAACTTATTACCAGTTATTTGCACCTGTGGAGCAGGTAGGCTTATGGCCAAGGTCCCCAGAACACTCGGAAGAGACCAGGGAGGTCTTACACCCTTCCTCTGCCCTCAAGAATAAAAGCAAGCAGGCTTACCAAAGGTCATGAAAAATGCTCACACTATGATGGACTACATGGAAAATAGTGTCCTGTGAAGTTTAAGGAAGCTTGTCTTCCACATGGGGGTGTTGCTTGGCGTCTGCTTCACATTGGTGAATCCATATAGATAATATGTATCATTTACCCACCTAACTTGTGGGCTTGGTTATATTTGTGGGTGTTTTCCAAAAATCAGCTAGTCAAACAACAAAATTGAATATCTTTCTCTTTCTTTCTTTCTTTCTTTCTTTTTCTTTCTTTCTCTCTTTCTCTCTTTCTCTCTTAAGACAGAATCTTATGTTTGCCCAGCTTAGAGTAGAGTGGCTATTCACAGGCATGATCATGGTGCACTACAGCCCTGAACTCCTGGGCTCAAGTGATCCTCCTGCCTCAGTCTCCCTAGTAGCTGGGACTACAGGTATGCACCATTAGACCCACCTCACTTTTGTATTTTTTTTTTTTAAGAGTTGCCTCTACACATGCTTTGCCTTATTCTAACTGGTCGTCTATTTCTTTCTTACCAATTCTTAAAGCCCTTCAAATAATCTTGAAATTAGTCCCTTTTATATACATTGCAAATCACTTCTTCTAGACTTATTTTATAATATTAGTTATGATCTTGTACCACATATAAATTTAGAGTTTCTTCTTATATAGTCAAACCTAAAACAATAAGAGCACAAAGGAAGGAAGCCAGAGGGTAAGAGGGGACAAACAGCTACTGAGAGAAACAAAAAATGAAAGCGATGAAATAAACTCTCTTCACTTTCCATTAAAGTCCTGCACTTTAGTCTGAATTTCACATTTGTGCTTTACTTTATTTAACAATTCAGTAACTATTGCAAAGTAAAACATCTCGTAAAATGCAAATTTAAAGATACTAAACCAAGTGCCAACATCACACTCATTACTGAAATCCAGAAGAATTTCCAAAAACAGCTCAAGAATACCTATTATCAATTACTCATACTATTCAATTATTCTAAACATCCTAGTCAATACATAAAGAAAGTAAAATAAAAGACAGTAATTGATGGTTAGGGGGAAAGAGGATCTGAAACTGTAACTATTTAAAGGTGTTATCACTTTTTTTTTCTTTTGTAAAATCCAAAGTAATAAACTCAAAGCCATTAGGCCTAATTTAAAAATGCAGTGAGGAAGCTGGTTACAAATATGTCTACATCCAAGAAGAAGGCATAATGGAGTTAAAGAGATTCCCATGTCAATTAGTATGCCATGTCTAGGAATAAACTTAGCAAAATGATTCTAGACTTGTGTGGGATAAAGAGCCATTCAAAATCTACTGAGAGACAATGAATTGAGTAAGTGGAGATACAAGTTCCAAGATTAGATATTTTCCATGCCAGTAATCTCTTTATTAATAGCTACTTATAATAGAACTTCAATCAAAATCACATTTTTTTATGTAAGGAATGGACAAGGAATCTCATTAAATTATTTGAAAATTTTCTTGAAATAAATATATTACATTAAGAAAATGTTTTAAAAGC